AAAATGTCTTCCTAATATCTAGTCTAAATCTACCCTCTTTTAGCATTGCCCCTTGTCCTACGGCAACAGGCCCTGCTAAAAACTGCCCCCTTCTTTCTTGTAGCCCTCTTTAGGTACTGGAAGGCCACAATAAAGTCTCCCTGGAGCCTTCTCTTCTCCAGGCTGAACAACCCCAACTCTCTCAGCCTGTCCTCATAGGTGAGGTGCTCCATCCCTCTAATCATCTTTGTGGCCCTCATCTAGACCCGTTCCAACAGGTCCATGTCCTTCTTGTGTGGAGGACTCCTGAGCTGGATGCAGTGCTCCAGGTGGGGTCTCACTAGAGTGGAGTAGAGGGGCAGAATCACCTCCCTCAAGCTGCTGGCCACACTGCTTGTGATGCAGCCCAGGACAGAGCTGGCTTTGTGGGCTGTAAGCACACATTGTCAGCTCATGTTGAACTTCTCACCCACCAACACCCCCAAGTCCTTCACCCTAGAGCTGCTCTCAGTCACTTCATGACCCACCAACACCCCCAAGTCCTTCACCCTAAAGCTGCTCTCAATCACTTTATGTCCCAGCCTGTATTGATACTGGGGTTTGCACCGACCCAGGTCTTGTTGAACCTCATGAGGTTCACACGGGCCCACTTCTCAAGCCTGTCCAGGTCCCTCTGGTGACATCCCGCCCTCCAGGTGTGTCAACCACAACACTCAGCTTGGTGTCATCCACAAACCTGCTGAGGGTGCACTCGATACCACTGTCTATGTTATTGATTGAGGATATTAAACAGTACCGGTCCCAGTACTGACCCCTGAGGGACACCATTTGCCACCAATCTCCATCTGGACATCGAGGGACACCACTTGCCACCAATCTCCATCTGGACGTTAACCACAACACTCAGCTTGGTGTCATCCACAAACCTGCTGAGGGTGCACTCGATACCACTGTCTATGTTATTGATTGAGGATATTAAACAGTACCGGTCCCAGTACTGACCCCTGAGGGACACCATTTGCCACCAATCTCCATCTGGACATCGAGCCATTGACTACTACCCTCTGGATGCAACCATCCAACCAATTCCTCATCCACTGAACAGTCCACCCATCAAATCCACAGCTCTCCAATTCAGAGAACAGGATGTTGGGTGGAATGGTGCAACGGACCTTAGTGAAGTCCAGAGAGACAACATTTGTAGCTCTCACAGAACTCTCATCTGCTTTACTCACTAGTTCATCTTCCTGCTCTAACAATACTTTTTTTAAAAAATCAAGTAACTAGAAATAAGGGCAAGTAGGATGTTGTTTTTCATACAACTGATCAAAATGACACCACCTCAAAATTAATAGATACTACCTGGAAACCAGTGACCACCGATGCCTTCCATCCCCCTTCTGCATGTCAGTGTTCTGAACATGGGCTAAATAGTTGGAGCCTAGTGCAGATTAGCTGCAGGACAGGGGACATCACAAATACCATATATTTTTAAAAAAGAAAGCAAAAAGCATTATCCACTTGCTTCTCATCTAGTAGGATTCCCCTGCAAAGGGAATACAGTTAATTCAACTTATGGAAAGATAAAGTTTATTGCTCTTCAGGTGATTGCAACATTTGAAAGTACTTGTCTTTTGTGCTACTCTCATGGAAACTGTAGGTTACACCAACAGTCTAAAATAAACATGTGACCAGCTGGTGGAATTCCTTACCTTTGCCCCTGTGCATCTTATCTGTACTGGCTGTTTAAGAGATGATTTTCAGTGCACCTAAGGACAACCCTTCATCTTTGTTAGAGAATTTATATAGGAATTCACTTGTCAATTACAGGAAGAGAAATCAATCTCTAAAGACTTTAACAACTAATTTAAGAAGAAAAAAAAAATGTAGAGGGAAAAATTAGTTCACCTCTAAATTTGTAAAAGAATCACTAGAATGAGAAAAAGAGGGAGTTTTCAAATCCTATTTTCTGGTGACTTTGGAAGAAGGCCTTGAACCTCACTTTCTGGGGTGGCTAGCACATACCCTTATCCCCAGACATTTTTCAGCCAAGCAAATAAATAACTGGTTTGTTCAGAGCAGAACAGATTCAATGACGTCATAAGAGACCCCCAACACCAGATCCAACATGCAGCAGCTCTACTGACACGGGACTGAATTCCTTTTGTATGACTGTAAGAATATGGAGTTGAAAATAGAGTCTTTTATATCCTATAATAGGCCCTAAGAGGTTCTTAGAAAGAATAGGCTCACTCTGGGAGGTCGGGTTCCTGGTGAGAACTGTAAGAACCAAACCTGATAGGATTCTTTCCTTTATCCTCTGAGTTTAAGTGCGAGAACTGCATGAAACCACCCTGATTCGGAGAGGCGGGCGTGATGACATGATTTGCAGGGAGCTGCCAGCAGAGCCAGGAGCAGCAGCCGGATAATACCCCCTGGGGGAAGAACACTGCAACACCCACACTTCCTTTATATCACATTATAACTTACTCCAACCCTGGACTTCGTTGGCACCAAGTCTCCAGACTGATTTGCTAGCAGGCTCTATTACTTAACCTAAAGGTATAGTTAAACGCATTTTATTCACCACTTCCAGAGGTGGTGTGGGTTTTTTTTCCTTGGAATTTCTCCACAGTGGCATTCTCCATAGAGATCCCTATGTCATTTTGCATCTCTCTCCTTGAAACTCACCCTGTGACAATTCCTTGCATCCTCTCTCCTCATTCATCAGCATTCTCCTTACTGCTTATTATGAAGCGATCCATGGTGAAGTCCTCCTTCCCCTCTCCACAGCATCCTTCTGGGACTGCCACCGTTGCTCCATGGCACAAGCTAAGCCAGCTCTTCCCCTTAAACCAGCTTGGGAAGCAAGAAATTAAGACTGGAATCACAACTCCAAGAGCAATAGCTCATTTAAGGTAGCAAGAGAGGTCTTCTCAGGTATTACTGCAGCCTGTAACAAGACATGTAAGCCAACTCTAACTTAACACAGGCCACAGAAGCTTGCTAAAGAACTTAAGTAGGTCTTCTCAGGTATTACTGCAGCCTGTAAGACATGTGAGCCAACTCTGACTACAGATATTAACACAGGCCACAGAAGCTTACTAAAGAACTTAATAACTTACCTAGATGGCTTTCCCATTCTTTCTTAGGCTTAAAGCTTTTTTTAAGTAGGTTTTGCAAAGCCAAGCATTAGGACCTACTGGTGTCATTACAGAAATACTCATCCCCTCTCCCCTCTGCAAAAAGAAACAATTAAAGCAAGCTTTTGCTCACTATTTCTCTCCATCCATCTCCTGTCCTTCTGAGCAGCTGAAGTGGTTGTTTATGAGTGCAATGAAATCCGTGCAAGTGGAAGGCAGGAGTACCACGGCATGCCCAGGCTGGGAAGCAAAACAGCACCAACTGGTGAGAGGCTGAAGCAGGAACTGGGCAATATGGTGAGTTTTAAAGTCGTGGAGCTCAGGCAGAAAGGCACGGACAAAAGGTCTGGAAAAGAGACTACACAAGGTGAACAGAAGAAAACAAATGCTGCCCAAGACCTTCAAAAAACTAGAAATGCTACAAACAAAACAGGTTTACATTAAAAAAAAGAGGCAGCAGTAAATGATTCTTAGAGACATAAAGATTAGTATTACAAAGAGTGGATTGTGTGCACGCTTGCTGAGAATATAAAAGTTCTTTTGACTACAAAACTATGAAGAAAGAATAGCAGAAAAAAGGTTCAATGAGCCTTCAGTTAACATTAAAAAGGGATTACGAAGAAGAGATCAAAGTGGCAAGTGAGATCATTGTGTCCAGACATCATCAAAATCCTGAAAAGCTTCTTAATCAAGTATTTCCTACCACCCTTTTGAAAACAGATGCACAAGCATGTTACTGACACATTTATTATTACAGAAATCTGGTAGCAAAATAAAAATAAGTTTGACAGAAGGAATCAGCAATGCATTCAGAACCACTGACCTAAACTGGTGCATACAATATCCTGGCATCTTGAAATGCAGAAAGTACAGGTACTTATCTAAGCCAGAAACAAAACTCCCATTGACTCAAGTATATCCCGGACTGGATGAGAGAGATGCACAGAATAACCTCAGGAGATTTCCCTGTGGCACAGGACACACCTGCTATTAACACAAATTTAGAAACAATTATGGGCAGGCCAGATCAGATTTCCATATGCCCACAGACTAAAACGACTCAGCAGAAAGCACTGCAAAACAATTGTTTCCAAGCATTCTACTGTGACAATTCTTCAAGTTAGATCAGAAGCCAAGGTTTCCTGGAAGAACACATGGCCAGGCTTAAGCTGAGCGGGTTCTGCTAGAGAGGCAATTTCTCATCAGGAGCAACTGCTCTACAGCAGCAAGTTTTAAGTCAGTTAAGACTGACAGCTTGCAGGGAAGAGGAAAGCATTTTAGCTTTCCAAACGTTGTTTCTAGCTGCTACTGCTTGTCACTATGCCATTCCTACAGCAAGATATAAATTAGCAAGGAACATGACTACGCTGAAGCGTAGGCGTGACATACAGCACCACATCAGAATAATTATAATAATAAAAAATACTCTCTGTTGTAACTTTTCATTACAAAAACACCAGATGGATAAGAGACTGATGAACAATCTCACAGAAACTCCACAGGCTGAGATATGCAAACCTTTGACAGAACATACACACACACAACTGTTGCACTGAGGACTAAAATACTGCACAGATGGAAATACAGTGTTTTTGAGGACAGATGTTCTCAGAAGAGTTTTTAAAAGTATGTATTTAAATAACTAAATAGCTAAATTTTGTTGTCTAACAGCCTTATACTGACCTGCAAGCTCGTAAGAGTTTTTAAAAGTATGTATTTAAATAACTAAATAGCTAAATTTTGTTGTCTAACAGCCTTATGCTGACCTACAAGCTTGCTGTTGGCCATACACACTCTAATTAAATTTTGGCTCTACAGGAAGGTTCTGTACCCATTGCTAGAACATGAACTCCAAGAAGAAAAGAACATCGTCCCGAGTTTTGTTGTTTTCACATACAAGTTCATTTTATGGTAATAACAGTATTCAGGACTGAACATGTTAGCTACAAAAAAAAGTCAGTTGGTATTTCTTTTTCTCCGCACCTATAAAAAATCGCAAACGGAAAAGTTCTCAAGGAAATGTAGTTCATACCAAACCATGTGCCAGACAAAAAAGGATCAAAATACTCTGGAAGACAGACAGTCTTAGCCGAGAAGCAATATGGAATTCCGACCCACAACATCCTTCCACAGCAGCTTGAGCCTGAAGTTAGATCACAGTCTCATCCCGTTACCAGTACAAAAGCCTATGTCAAGGCTCCAGACTTGATTCTTGTTCTTCAGTTTCATCAGGTAGTTCTTCAGCCGCTGCGTCACACACATTGTCCTGGTTATCTGCAGACTGATTCAGCTCCTCAGGCTCCTCAGCAGCAATCTGAGTTGTTTCTTCTTCTTCCTCTTCCTCAGCTTCCCCGTCATCCTCTACATCCATCTCAAACACCCTCACGTGACGGAGGTTTGAACTCAGCTACGGAGACAGCAAGAAGTTTGTGTCAGGAAGTAAAGAAAAGCACCGATACTATTTATAACGTTGGCCAATAGCTTTGAAAATAGCCTTTATCTTTGAAATGGAGGCATCAAGGAAATTAACAGCTTTTTTTATCACTCTGCAGGTTGAAAAGTAAAGCAAGCAGGTCTAAAAACTTCCCTTAGTTTTACCATGTTGTGTAATGAGAGAGATATGACTGTATCCTGACACAGATTGCAGTCCACAGGCTTGTTCACAGATGCAGTACTTACCACACAGGACACTTTTCTAATGCCATTTACAGCGACGTACTGAGCTTTCATGTTCTCCAGCACCCTCCACTGATTCTCCAAGACGACAGCACGCGTGGGTATCTCACCGCTTTGCTCATCCAGCCTGCGCAGAGCCAAGAAGAAAAGCACAATACTAGTACACAAGAAACAATTCCAGTACTAAGGAAAACCTCAGTCGGTCCAGGTTTTTATATGTCCCAGTTTTATTATATCATATGCAACAAGCAGAGAAGCATTTGAAACCATCATAACTCTGCTCTGCCCTTTCAAAGGCGCATCGCTCCAACTCACCCCCACTCACAGGGGATTTCATGAAGGAACTCTGCCTGTTGCAGTGGCCAGGATTACTTTGGACTTGTTTTAATATTTTCTGCTCGTTCTTCAACACCTGATTTCTTTGTGGCAAGAAAAAAGTATTGACAGTTCAGTATGACTTTTTATTTTGAGTTAAAAATATATCTTAAGCAATCCACCAGAGAGGCACAGGGGAATAAAAGGGGACAGATGAAGAAGTATCTCTGTATCCTTATTACAAGGCAGAGGTGTATGAGCAAATATGCTGAGAACATCCCAAATTCAAGTATTCTGACCAGCAAAGTTAGCATCCTCTAAAGAAAAGAAGATTTCTGATTTGACAGGATGCTTTGAATTGGTCCTCCCATTTCACCAGAGCCATGTACACAGGTAGTATTCAGTATCCAAAAAAACAAAACAAATCCCAACCCCCACAAAAACCACAAAACAAACTGTTCAGGAAGCTTCCACCTCCCCACTCCACTCTCCCTGGTGCAAAAAGAGCTTTTGTCTTCAAAATATTTAGGCACGCACACACACAAAGCACGAGTAACTGCACACAAATAGAATATTTGCTTAATCTGCTTTTCAGTTCTGCATTTTCAGACTCGCTCAAAGTTTTTTATTACCTTTTAGTAGAATCCCAGATGAATTCCCTATCTTGATCCTCATCTGTGTAGACTGAAGATAAAGGCAGCTGGGCCAAGACTCTCTCTTTGCCTTCTTGTTCCACACTCTCCTTCAAAACTACAGTGACGGTTTCGTCATCGTAGAAGTGTGCATCTAAACAACTGTAGCATCTACAGGAAAAGTAATTAGAAAGCATCACAGAATGAAACTGAATACAGAACTAAAATATTCTGAGGATGCACAGCATTCACGTTAAAAAGCATTCAGTAGTTAGCAGTGAGCTTTACTGTAAGCAATAAAAAAGGTCAGTCAAGCAGCTAAGACTGAAAGGCAGCCATAACCACAGCAGATTCCTGTATTAAGCAGGAAAAATGATTCTGAAAAAAACCCCACCAAAACTTCCTAGCAATCTTATTTTTTCCCATTTCAGGTGAAATAAAAGAAACAGTAAAACGCAGACACCAAAGAAAATTTTGAAACACAACTGAAGGTTGTGTGTTTCTTGCACGTCTGCCAAAGGTCTAGTTTTCAACTAGAAAACTAAAATTGCCTTGACCTTGAGGTGAAGTGCAAAATAAGACTCCCTCAATCCTGCAGCTTCATGCACCTGTGCCATTTCTGACAGCCCCACTCACTCAGGGGCTACAAGCTGGTCCAGCGCCTGAAGTAGTAACTTGTAGGACAAAAGCCAAACTGTAATGCCTGGGAAGTTAACTTAATGTAAAATAAACACCAGGAAAACATGGTCTTAATTTTAACTGTCTGCAATTCTGGAAGAAAAAGAATCAAATATACTGACCTGGAGTCTGAGCTCTCATTTATACTGTTGTTCAAGAAGTTTCCAAACTCTACTGCAAGAATTCCATTGCTGACAGACCTGGAAGAACAGTGTTTGTTATCTCAGTGATTAATTTCTTTTCTGTTCATAAAGAACCCAAAATCTCTAACGGCAGCCGTGGTAAGAGACGGTGTAAACCTGTCTCAGCTTAGCACGATACACAGCCAAATACCAAGATGAAATAATTGGTGGATAGAAACTTTTTGATTTCTTCTACCCCTCAGCAAAATGTGACTAATGGAGTCAAGAGGGAAACAGTGTCTGGCTTGTGGGAGACAGTTCTTGGCTGAACTCTTGGCTCAACTGTCCTAACCTCAGGTCCATTAAGTTACTTGTTACTCAGATCTAAAGAAAACGAGTTTAGACTATTTTAGATATCAATGAAGGAGGAAAAAAGATCATTTTGTCATCAAAAAAGATAGTTTCACCATGTGTCTTCTTCAGCAGTAAAACTGCTTTAAACATTCCCACCCCTAACACAATTATCTCCTCAAATTAAATAACAGATTATTAAAAACAGTATTTTACAGAAGGGGGAGTTTTGTTTTCTAAACACAGGTTATTTCCATGATCCCACTGCCAGAATGCATCTTAAAACAGTTGTATCTGCACAACCAGGCCATGACAAACTGCATCCTGGACACAGAAGCCCCTGAAGGTACACAAAACTACACACCAAAGAGATGTAGCCTGCTTGTTGCACCTATGAGTCCCCCTCCCATTTTTCCTTAAGAGTATTAAATTACAGGCTGCAAGGGGTAAATCAAAGAATAATATTTACAGTAAGACAAAGCATCACTGAGAGCATGATTCCCTGCACTTTAAGTTTGCACAAGCAAGTAATCCTGTGAGGAGCAAAACCAAGGAAGCCCAATTTTTCTGCTAAGCCTAAAACCATCTTGGGTCTTGTGATTACATTTTCTGTGTCAAATACAACACAAACTCCTCCTGCAGTTTCCTACTGCACTTCCTAAAGTTCTCCTCATTTTCTGTACTATCCAAGAAAGATTGTATTCATGCTGCTTCTTTTTACTTCTCTTTACTTCTTTTGACAAAAGAAAGATTCAAATTGCAATTGTCCCTGTACCCACATGCTGAAGCAAGATATAAATTAGCAAGGAACATGACTACGCTGAAGCGTAGGCGTGACATACAGCACCACATCAGAATAATAATTATAATAATAAAAAATACTCTCTGTTGTAACTTTTCATTACAAAAACACCAGATGGATAAGAGACTGATGAACAATCTCACAGAAACTCCACAGGCTGAGATATGCAAACCTTTGACAGAACATACACACACACAACTGTTGCACTGAGGACTAAAATACTGCACAGATGGAAATACAGTGTTTTTGAGGACAGATGTTCTCAGAAGAGTTTTTAAAAGTATGTATTTAAATAACTAAATAGCTAAATTTTGTTGTCTAACAGCCTTATGCTGACCTACAAGCTTGCTGTTGGCCATACACACTCTAATTAAATTTTGGCTCTACAGGAAGGTTCTGTACCCATTGCTAGAACATGAACTCCAAGAAGAAAAGAACATCGTCCCGAGTTTTGTTGTTTTCACATACAAGTTCATTTTATGGTAATAACAGTATTCAGGACTGAACATGTTAGCTACAAAAAAAAGTCAGTTGGTATTTCTTTTTCTCCGCACCTATAAAAAATCGCAAACGGAAAAGTTCTCAAGGAAATGTAGTTCATACCAAACCATGTGCCAGACAAAAAAGGATCAAAATACTCTGGAAGACAGACAGTCTTAGCCGAGAAGCAATATGGAATTCCGACCCACAACATCCTTCCACAGCAGCTTGAGCCTGAAGTTAGATCACAGTCTCATCCCGTTACCAGTACAAAAGCCTATGTCAAGGCTCCAGACTTGATTCTTGTTCTTCAGTTTCATCAGGTAGTTCTTCAGCCGCTGCGTCACACACATTGTCCTGGTTATCTGCAGACTGATTCAGCTCCTCAGGCTCCTCAGCAGCAATCTGAGTTGTTTCTTCTTCTTCCTCTTCCTCAGCTTCCCCGTCATCCTCTACATCCATCTCAAACACCCTCACGTGACGGAGGTTTGAACTCAGCTATGGAGACAGCAAGAAGTTTGTGTCAGGAAGTAAAGAAAAGCACCGATACTATTTATAACGTTGGCCAATAGCTTTGAAAATAGCCTTTATCTTTGAAATGGAGGCATCAAGGAAATTAACAGCTTTTTTTATCACTCTGCAGGTTGAAAAGTAAAGCAAGCAGGTCTAAAAACTTCCCTTAGTTTTACCATGTTGTGTAATGAGAGAGATATGACTGTATCCTGACACAGATTGCAGTCCACAGGCTTGTTCACAGATGCAGTACTTACCACACAGGACACCTTTCTAATGCCATTTACAGCGACGTACTGAGCTTTCATGTTCTCCAGCACCCTCCACTGATTCTCCAAGACGACAGCACGCGTGGGTATCTCACCGCTTTGCTCATCCAGCCTGCGCAGAGCCAAGAAGAAAAGCACAATACTAGTACACAAGAAACAATTCCAGTACTAAGGAAAACCTCAGTCGGTCCAGGTTTTTATATGTCCCAGTTTTATTATATCATATGCAACAAGCAGAGAAGCATTTGAAACCATCATAACTCTGCTCTGCCCTTTCAAAGGCGCATCGCTCCAACTCACCCCCACTCACAGGGGATTTCATGAAGGAACTCTGCCTGTTGCAGTGGCCAGGATTACTTTGGACTTGTTTTAATATTTTCTGCTCGTTCTTCAACACCTGATTTCTTTGTGGCAAGAAAAAAGTATTGACAGTTCAGTATGACTTTTTATTTTGAGTTAAAAATATATCTTAAGCAATCCACCAGAGAGGCACAGGGGAATAAAAGGGGACAGATGAAGAAGTATCTCTGTATCCTTATTACAAGGCAGAGGTGTATGAGCAAATATGCTGAGAACATCCCAAATTCAACTATTCTGACCAGCAAAGTTAGCATCCTCTAAAGAAAAGAAGATTTCTGATTTGACAGGATGCTTTGAATTGGTCCTCCCATTTCACCAGAGCCATGTACACAGGTAGTATTCAGTATCCAAAAAAACAAAACAAATCCCAACCCCCACAAAAACCACAAAACAAACTGTTCAGGAAGCTTCCACCTCCCCACTCCACTCTCCCTGGTGCAAAAAGAGCTTTTGTCTTCAAAATATTTAGGCACGCACACACACAAAGCACGAGTAACTGCACACAAATAGAATATTTGCTTAATCTGCTTTTCAGTTCTGCATTTTCAGACTCGCTCAAAGTTTTTTATTACCTTTTAGTAGAATCCCAGATGAATTCCCTATCTTGATCCTCATCTGTGTAGACTGAAGATAAAGGCAGCTGGGCCAAGACTCTCTCTTTGCCTTCTTGTTCCACACTCTCCTTCAAAACTACAGTGACGGTTTCGTCATCGTAGAAGTGTGCATCTAAACAACTGTAGCATCTACAGGAAAAGTAATTAGAAAGCATCACAGAATGAAACTGAATACAGAACTAAAATATTCTGAGGATGCACAGCATTCACGTTAAAAAGCATTCAGTAGTTAGCAGTGAGCTTTACTGTAAGCAATAAAAAAGGTCAGTCAAGCAGCTAAGACTGAAAGGCAGCCATAACCACAGCAGATTCCTGTATTAAGCAGGAAAAATGATTCTGAAAAAAACCCCACCAAAACTTCCTAGCAATCTTATTTTTTCCCATTTCAGGTGAAATAAAAGAAACAGTAAAACGCAGACACCAAAGAAAATTTTGAAACACAACTGAAGGTTGTGTGTTTCTTGCACATCTGCCAAAGGTCTAGTTTTCAACTAGAAAACTAAAATTGCCTTGACCTTGAGGTGAAGTGCAAAATAAGACTCCCTCAATCCTGCAGCTTCATGCACCTGTGCCATTTCTGACAGCCCCACTCACTCAGGGACTACAAGCTGGTCCGGCACCTGAAGTAGTAACTTGTAGGACAAAAGCCAAACTGTAATGCCTGGGAAGTTAACTTAATGTAAAATAAACACCAGGAAAACATGGTCTTAATTTTAACTGTCTGCAATTCTGGAAGAAAAAGAATCAAATATACTGACCTGGAGTCTGAGCTCTCATTTATACTGTTGTTCAAGAAGTTTCCAAACTCTACTGCAAGAATTCCATTGCTGACAGACCTGGAAGAACAGTGTTTGTTATCTCAGTGATTAATTTCTTTTCTGTTCATAAAGAACCCAAAATCTCTAACGGCAGCCGTGGTAAGAGACGGTGTAAACCTGTCTCAGCTTAGCACGATACACAGCCAAATACCAAGATGAAATAATTGGTGGATAGAAACTTTTTGATTTCTTCTACCCCTCAGCAAAATGTGACTAATGGAGTCAAGAGGGAAACGGCGTCTGGCTTGTGGGAGACAGTTCTTGGCTGAACTCTTGGCTCAACTGTCCTAACCTCAGGTCCATTAAGTTACTTGTTACTCAGATCTAAAGAAAACGAGTTTAGACTATTTTAGATATCAATGAAGGAGGAAAAAAGATCATTTTGTCATCAAAAAAGATAGTTTCACCATGTGTCTTCTTCAGCAGTAAAACTGCTTTAAACATTCCCACCCCTAACACAATTATCTCCTCAAATTAAATAACAGATTATTAAAAACAGTATTTTACAGAAGGGGGAGTTTTGTTTTCTAAACACAGGTTATTTCCATGATCCCACTGCCAGAATGCATCTTAAAACAGTTGTATCTGCACAACCAGGCCATGACAAACTGCATCCTGGACACAGAAGCCCCTGAAGGTACACAAAACTACACACCAAAGAGATGTAGCCTGCTTGTTGCACCTATGAGTCCCCCTCCCATTTTTCCTTAAGAGTATTAAATTACAGGCTGCAAGGGGTAAATCAAAGAATAATATTTACAGTAAGACAAAGCATCACTGAAAGCATGACTCCCTGCACTTTTTCACTAATATTTACAGTAAGACAAAGCATCACTGAGAGCATGATTCCCTGCACTTTAAGTTTGCACAAGCAAGTAATCCTGTGAGGAGCAAAACCAAGGAAGCCCAATTTTTCTGCTAAGCCTAAAACCATCTTGGGTCTTGTGATTACATTTTCTGTGTCAAATACAACACAAACTCCTCCTGCAGATTCCTACTGCACTTCCTAAAGTTCTCCTCATTTTCTACACTATCCAAGAAAGATTGTATTCATGCTGCTTCTTTTTACTTCTCTTTACTTCTTTTGACAAAAGAAAGATTCAAATTGCAATTGTCTCTCTACCCACATGCTGAAGCTCACAAACCACTTTTTCCCCCTTTTTGTCTTACCTGGAAGTATCAGTATGTCTCCTCAAAATGTATATTTTAGAAATTGAGTTTTCTAATATGGTGAAGAGAACATAATGTATATTGGATGTTTTGTCATTCCACCTGTAATGTGGAGGGAAGAAATTAAAATTTAGGTCAAGTTTTAATAATTGGTAAATGACATAAAACAAGGAAGAGCAGCATACTTACAGAAATGGTAGTTTAAATAATTGGGGTGTGGAATCTTCACTGAAAAGAAAAAAAAACAAACCAGCTTATAAAATGCTACTGTAATTTTGTGCAACTGAGCTTTAGAAATAATGAAAAGAAATACCTTTCAGAAGTTTTGTAAAGAGACATGCAGACTGCTTGATGCACTGACTTTCCAATTACATCCTAACAAATAGAACGAAAATAAGCCAAAAATGCAGGCAGTTATTAATAACTAAACACCTTTTTAAGACTTACCAAACAAACAAACAAACAAAAATCCCTGAGTACATCTCAAACAAACAAACAGACAAACAAACAAAAATCCCTGAATACATCTCATTAGGGCTACAAAGATGATGAGGGGCCTTGAACATATCTCTGATGAGGAAAGGCTGAAGAACTTGGGTCTTTTTAGTCTGGAGAAGAGAAGTCTCAGTGGGGAACTGATCAATGCCTATCCAGTGGTGCCCAGTGACAGGACAAGAGGAAATGGGTACAAACTCGAATATAAAAAGTTCCACCTAAACATGAGGAGGAACTTCGTTCCTGTGAGGGTGGCAGAGCCCTGGAAGAGGCTGCCCAGAGAGGTGGTGGAATCTCCTTCTCTGGAGACATTCAAACCCCACCTGGACACGTTCCTGTGCAACCTGCTCTGGGTGGACCTGCAGAGGCAGGGGGTTGGACTAGATGATCTCCAGAGGTCCCTTCCAACCCCATGTGATTCTGTGATCTGAGTGAAAAATACACCAATATTTTGCTCCAATAATCATCCCTATTTCAAACACTACTGTCGCTTGATACACTTCTTTCATGTTTCTTTATGATATATAGACTAATGTATTGCCAACTAACACAGCTACCTAGTACACAGCGCATACACCAAGCTAAGTAATGTTAAAAATAGGTCCCAATAACATGGGAACAGAAGACATGAAGCAAAAATATCCCCCATTACGCTCTGCCTAGCCAAAGGCTTGAGACATCCCAGCA